CCTGTTGGTTTTGTCGTATCACCTAACATTTTGGATTTAGCATCCACTTATCAGGGAGATCATATACCGTTTGTCTCTTTGCTCTTGGCTTCCTCTAAGCTCAACATGATTCCTTCTAGCTCCATCCATTTCCCTGCAAATGCCATTATTTTGTCATTTCTAATGGCTGCATAATATTCCATTGTGTATAGATACCACAATTTTTGGATCCATTCATCTGTGGTGGGGCATCTGGGTTGTTTCCATATCCTAGCTATTGTGAACAGTGCTGCAATAAACATGGAGGTGCACGCGTCCTTGTATATTGGTTCCTGTTGTTCAGGGTAGATGCCTAGAAGTGGTATGACTGGGTCGTAAGGGAGGTCAATCTTTAGCTTTCTAAGGACCCTCCAGACTGCTTTCCAAAGTGGTTGTATAAGTGTACATTCCCACCAGCAGTGTAATAGGGTTCCTCTTTCTCCACATCCCCTCCAGCATTTGTCATTGACTGATTTGTGGATGTGGGACATTCTGACTGGGGTAAGGACCACCCACTTTTTTATTTTGGAATTTTGGCATAGTTTACAAATAAAGCGCACATATTTTAACTGTACAAGTTAGTGACTTTCAACGTGCATATTCTTTTTTTTTTTTTTTGGTCATGGGCCTTGAACTCTGGGCCTGAGCGCTGTCCCTCAGCTCTCCAGCTCAAGGCGAGTGCTCTACCACTTGAGTTATAGCGGCACTTCCAGTTTTTTTCTGATAGTTTATTGGAGATAAGAGTCTCACGGACTTTCCTGCCGGGCTGGCTTTGAACTGCTATCCTCAGATCTCAGCCGCCTGAGTAGCTAGGATTACAGGCGTGAGCCACAGTGCCCAGCTTGAACATGCATATTCTTGTAAAGAGCACCACAACAATCAAGGTAGCATACAGAGCTTTTGTTTCTCAAGAGTTTCTCTTCATGTAACTGTAACCCTTCTGTACAGTATCTTTAATATATAAATATATATAATATGTATATATATAGTTTCTGTGCTGCTTGGTAACCCCTCCTCCCTGACCTTCTCCAGAGAATTAGTGACCTGCTGTTTCTTTTTCTTTTTCAAATTCTTTATTGTGATTAAGTCATTACATAATTTCCCAGATTTCACAGTATTGTAGGATAATGATGGTTAATTAAAGTCACAAACACATTCTGACTTTCATGGGGGCAAATTGTCTATTGTTGACCTGCTATTTCTATTTTAAATTCCTCTCTAATTTCCATTTCTGTTTTAAATTCCTCTATAAAGGATTTTGTCTGGTTTCTTTTCATTCAGCATAATTATGTTAAAATTCCACTCACAGTGTTTTGTGCATCAACAGTACTTCTTTTTTTTTTTTAATGGTTGAGTAGTATTCCTCTGTATGAATATAAATCACAGCACTGATCTGTTCACGTACAAGTCTTTGAACATATGCTTTCATTTATCTTGGATAAAAGCTTCTTTGAAGTACAATGGTGATGCCAGGCAACGCACCTGTAATCCTAGCTACTCGGGAGACCGAGATCTGAGAATTGCAGTTCAAAGCCGATAGGAAAGTGCAAAATTCTTATCTCCAATTAATTGCAAGAAACAAAACAAAACAAAAAACGAAGTGGAGCTGTGGCTCAAGTGGTAGAGCACTAGCCTTGAACACAAAAGCTCAGGGACAGCACACAGACCCAGAGTTCAAGCCCCAAGTGGCACCAAAAAAGAAAGAAAGAAAAGAAAGGAAGGAAGTGGCATTGTAGCTCAAAGAGGTAGAGCCCTAGCTATCAGTGGAAAAAAGCTCAGGACCACACTGAGGCCCTGAGTTCAAGCCCATCAACTGACCAAAAAAAAAAAAAAAGTGCAATGTTGGATCAAATACTTGTCTTATGATTCTTAACTTTTCCCCCCTCCCTTCCCTGATCCTTAAACTTTTTATGTTTCAATTTAAAAAAATATTTGTTTTTATTAAGTAGTTGTACAAAGGAGTTTCAACTCTTAGCTGTGACTCTTAAGTTTGAAGGAAGTCCTGAGCTGTTTTTCAGAGCAGATGGGTTAATTTGCATTTTCCGTCTCAGTGTCTTGAGAGTTCTGTTGCTCCTTAACTGCGCAGCAACATGAGATGTGGCAGTCATCTTAATTTCGCTCTCTTCTGTGATGCTATCTTATTGCACTTTCAACTTTTACATCTCTGAGGACTAATAAAAGAGAATGCCTTTTCCTGTGGGTATTTGCCTTATTTGAATCATTTTTGTATAGCACCCATTTCGATTGGTTTGTTCTGTTAATATTGAGCTTTTGTTACTCTGAGATTTAAGAATTGTGGTTCGAAGCTAGCCTGGGCGGGAAATCCAGTGAGACTCTTTTTCTAATTAGCTAGTAAAAAACCGGAAGTGGAGCCGTGACCCAAGTGATAGGGTGTTGGCTTTGAGTGACAAAGCTAAGGGACAGTGTCCAAGTCCTGAATTTAAGCCCCAAAACTGGAATACACACAAGAAATGTTGAGTTTGTTTATTCTGGAAACAAGTCCTTATCAGAGAATGTGCTTTTCAGATCTTTTCTCCAGTAGAGTGCCTATCTTTCTGTTCTCTTAATAGTATCATGTTTTTCAGAGATCAGAAGCTTAAGTTTTGGTGAAGTCAAGTAATTGACTTTTTTCCTGGGTTGTGTTTTTTTTTTTTTTTTTTTTGCTTATGTGGTGCTAAGGAATCGAACCCAGGGCCTCAGGCATGCAAGGCAAGCGCTCTACCACTGAGCCACTTTCCCAGCCCCATGGGTTGTGTTTTTTAGGCATCATATGGGAAATCTTTGTCCCAAGGAAGGTCATGGTGATTTTTTTCCCTAAGTTCTAAGCTTTCCACTGACCCATTCCAGTTGATTAGTATAGAAGTAGAAGCTCTGGTTGCAGTGGGTTTTTTTGTTTTGTTTTTTGTTGGTCGTGGGGCTTGAACTCTAGGCTTGGGCGCTGTCTGCGCACTCTTCAGCTCCAGGCAAGCACTCTATTGCTTGAGCCACAGCACCACTTCCGGTTTTCTAGTGGTTTATTGGAGATAAGAGTCTCAGAGAGTTTCCTATCCGGGCTGGCTTTGAACCGTGATCCTCAGATCTCAGCCTCCTGAGTAGCTAGGATTACAGGTGTGAGCCACTGGCACCAGGCTTGCAGTTATTTTTTCTTATTGTAGTTTATCAGGTTGTTGTAGCATTGTATCTGGAAAAACTATTGTTACTCCACTGTTGAAAATCAGCTGTCCATGTGTGTACGGCTGTTAGTGGCTTTTGTTGATTTCAATGGTCTGTTAAGTCTTGGCACCATTACTACACTGCCTTGATGATTGTAGCTTTCTCTTTTAAAATTAAAAAAAAAATGTGTAATTGTCTTTAAGTAGTCATGTGAAAGGGTTTCAACAAATTCGTCTATAAACACAACACATCTTGATGTACATCACTCAGTGTTATCAGGTGAGTGTCCATGTTTCACACCTGTAATCCTAAATTATTCAGGAGGCTGAGCATAGGGGATCAAAGCCAGCCTGCACACAGAGAGTCTGTGAGATTCTTCTTGCCAGTTAACCAGCAAAAATAAAATCGAAAGTGGAAGTATTGCTCAAGTGGTATAGTACCAGCCTTGAGTAAAAAAGCTAAGGGGCAGTGCCTAGGCCCTGAGTTCAAGCCCCAGTACCAGTATAATAAATAGATAAATAATAAACCAACTGTTTATGGTTGAACTGATTCCTATATGATTCCTACAGCAAAAGGACAATTGTCTCCATTGCTTAGATGAGCTTTTGCAGTCTTAGCTCTCTCACACTCCTCCTCCCGCCCCCCCCCACACACACTGCGGCCTGAGGGCCTTCCCCGGGCCTTCCCCTGCAGAGGGCTCTGGTCCCCTTTGTTGTTGGGACTTTTGTCAAACTATGCCTGCAGAGCAGATGTGGCCACTTCCCTAATCTTCGGGTGTTCAGTGGCTTTGCCAGAAAGTGAGAAGAGCGGAGTAACTCCCCCACATCACTTCCCACTCTCCCTTTCTCCCTAGATCAACCCATGCCGTGGCCAGGGCGGGGTTGGAGAGGGTAAAATGCCCATTGGCTGGGGCTTGGCCAGTGCAGCTTCAGTGCAGCTTCAGATGTTCCCGAGCTCCAGGCAGTCTAGAGCTGAGAACATCCCCATATTTCAAATGAGCAAACTGAGGGTCTTGGAGACCTCATGCCCTTGCTAGGGTGTCCCAGCCAGCAGTGTGGGGCCACACCTTGACCCCAGGTCTATGACTCCCCCCTCCCCCTCCCCCCCCACCGGCCTTTCAGCCGAATCCCAGGCTTTCCTCTCTTGTTCTATTTGCTAATTACTGTTTTTCAACTGTAGGGGTTCCTTGGTCCTGGGCCCCTGGGAGAGGGATAATTACATCCTTCCAGATGCCCTTAGTTAGCAGCTCCCCATTAGGCTGCATGACCAAGTCCAGCACTGACCTTCCTCCGTCCTTCCCCCATTCTCAAGCGAGGGCTTGGAGGTCAGCTGGACGTGTTTTGCTCTCACTGATGCATCTGGTTGCATCTGGCCAGACTGTCCCTCACAGAGAGGGTCACTTTTGTTTATCCAGACCTATCAGGAGGGTCCTTGGTCCTAAGGGTATGGAAGGGCTAGCTTGCTAGTGTGTCTCTGCCAGCCCTGCCCAGCTGTTAAGCGTGAGGTCCTAGGATAAACTTCACTGGTGGAAAAGGCGGTGTCACCTCTTCATGTGTGTGTATGTGGTAATGGGGCTTGAACTCAGGGCCCTGTACTCTCCCTTGACTTTTTTGCTCAAGGCCTCGCGCTCTACCATTTGAGCCACCACTTCCAGCTTTCTGCTGGCTAATTGGAAGCTCACGGACTTTTCTACTCAGGTTAGCTTCAAATGTTGATCTTCATATCTCCACCTCCTGAGTAGCTTGGAGCCACCAACGCCCAGCCGATGTCACCTTTGATCGGGTTTCTCTCTCAATACTCCCTCTTCACATGCTTCTCGCTCCTTCCAGGTCCCTGGACGGCCGGCTGCAGGTGTCTCATCGGAAAGGACTTCCCCATGTCATCTACTGCCGTCTGTGGCGGTGGCCGGACCTGCACAGCCACCATGAGCTGCGGGCCATGGAGCTGTGTGAGTTTGCCTTCAATATGAAGAAAGACGAGGTGTGCGTTAACCCTTACCACTACCAGAGAGTGGAGACGCCAGGTATTGTACCACCATTACTGCCTGACAGTGGGGTTTAAGGCCTTCCTGATTCCTCCTCTTCCTCTCTGGGAGGGTTTGTGGTACTCCAGGGGTGGGAAGGGGTGACTTTGCAGCCAGTCTGGCCTGGGTACTGAGCACCTCTCTGTCCCCTGGGCAGTTCTACCTCCTGTGTTAGTGCCACGACACACAGAGATTCCGGCCGAGTTTCCCCCATTGGATGACTACAGCCATTCCATCCCTGAGAACACCAACTTCCCTGCTGGCATCGAGCCCCAGAGCAATATTCCAGGTAGGCTGAGGCGGAAAGCAGGAGCAGCTCCCTCGGTGTCCCCGGTCTTCCCCTCTGCACACAGCCCTGGGCTTCTGACTCAGAACTGCTTCCCTATTGGGAGATCACCCGTGGCCTTAGCTCCCCACTCATGATGCTTTTCTTGGCAAGGAGAAGCAGCGTGACCCTTCCGCCCAGCCGCAGCTCAGTCATTTATTTTGGAAGCGGAAATAGCAGTACTGTGTTTCTCTCGCCGCCCTTTGGGGGCCCCAGCTGCCAGTGGTACTCTGGGGCTCAGGCAGGATCCCCATGATGGCTAATAAGGGGGTGCGGTGGGGCCTGCAGAGCCCAGGGTGAGCCAGCCCAGGGCCGGTGAAATCCCAGGAGGGTGGGACTTGAAATAGCTCAGTCTTGCAATAGAGGAATATAAGCTCCACTGTCAAGACAATAATACAAATACTGTGTGAATCACCAAACTGCGCTCTGGGCATCCAGAGGAGCTGGGCTTGGCCACATTGGGGCCAGTCAGGGCAACTCCTGCTGGCTGGGGCAGCCATCCAGATGTGTTCCTTTTAGAGTGTTCTAACTTTGGACGTGGCTTTGGCTCTCTCGGGGTTGGCTAGTGGGCTGAGGTTAGCTGTGGCCCGTGTGTCTAGCGTTCAGAGCACTGGGAGAGACGTGTTCTCCAGCCTTTCGGATCCTTGCAGGTAATTCTGGTCTGGGGAGTCCAGAAAGCAGACTGGGGGTGGAGGGGTGGGGGGGTGGGGCTAAAGCAGGGCCGGGGGCTCAGAGAAACAGATCCCACAGTTTGCTGTCACAGAATGACTCCCTTGCTAGAAGCTAAGCCACATATGTCCCCTTAGAGACCACAGAGAGTGGCAAAAGCAAGTGGATCGGCTCAGCAGGAGACACTGGGGGGCAGAGGGGCTCCCAGCTGGAGGCCATAGCTCTTCAGAGGACAGACATGGGTGAGGCAGGGCAGGTCCGAACACCTCCTTGGAGAAAGGGCCCGACTTGGGGCACAGGGACAGTCGGCTTGGCAGCAGCCCTAGGACTGGGGAGCTAGGTGGGAAGCTGGAGGTTGGAGGTGGGCAGGCCTGAGCATAGAGATTCTGGCAGCTGGTAGGTGCCCCTCACTTCAGCACCCCTTCAATACCTCATACTGGAGAGAGAAGCCATGGTTGCCTTTTAATGGACCACCTGTCTTTTGGTTCCCAGAGACCCCACCCCCCGGCTACCTGAGTGAAGATGGAGAAACCAGTGACCACCAGATGAACCACAGTATGGATGCAGGTCAGCTGGGTGCCCCTTGGCCCTCCCCTCCCCTCCCCTCCCCTCCCCTCCCTTCCATTCCCTTCTCTTTTTTTTTTTTTTTTTTCTTCTCATGGGTGTAAGGCACTTTGTTCAGATGCCGGCTTCACAAACGATTGAGGGAGATTGATAAGTGGTTAGCCACTATGCAATCTCCTTTGGGCCCTGGTAGGAGATGCCCTATGTGACTGGGCCCAGGGGATGCCACTGATAGTGGTGTAGACTTTAATTTAATTGTGCTAGTCCTGGGCCTTGAACTCGACCTTGGTGCTGCCCCTGAGCTTCTTTGTGCTCCAAGCTAGCGCTCTACCACTTTGAGCCCCTGCACCACTTCTGGTTTTCTGGTGGTTCATTGGAGATAAGAGTCTCATGGACTTTTCTTCCCAGGCTGGCTGCAATTCTTACTCTAGTATACTTTTTATAACTCAGTAAAAGACAACTCAAGCCCGGTGACTGTGGCTCAAACCTTTAATCCTAGCTGCTCAGGAAGCTGAGATCTGAGGATGGAGGTTTGAAGCCAGCCCAGACAGGAAAGTCTGTGAAACTTATCTTCAGTTAACCAGCAGAAAGCCAGAAGTGATGGTAGAGTTCAAGAGCACCAGCCTTGAGCAAAAAAATGCTAAGAGAGTATGCTCAGGCCTGAAGTCAAGGTCCTAGTACCAACACACACACACACACACACACACACACACACACTCACACACACACACAAACACACACACACTGTCTAGAAGCTTGAATGGAGGAACAATTTTTTTTTCTGATGGCCAGCAGAGACCGTAGGAGTAACTACTTTTCTCTGGTGGCCAAATGTGACCAGTGTGCTCTGATCAGGCGAGGTCTGGCCTAATGCTCTCTTTCCACATCTCCAGATGTTTCCCACATCATTTATTATGGGATCAAATTGGCTCCAAACCAGCAGCGCCTTGAATGGAACCCCAGCTGCCACATGGAGGGAGCAGCTAGCAGCATTGCTGCATTGTGTGTGGTTGGGTGAGGGGAGGAGGGAGCTGAGCAGATGTCCCATCTCGTTGGTGGCAGGCACGCTTGCGCGCACACTGAGCTGCTAGACACGGTGGAGCCACCTGCTCTGTGTATAGCCCAGAGGAGATTGTGCAATTCCTCAAAGAACCAGAAGCTCACATATGCATTGTAAATAGAGGTGCTGGGGTCAACACACACACCCACCGCAGCTGGCAGGCATAGATGGTCTTCCTATAGTCAGTGCCAAGTAACCACTGCAAGCTTACAGATCTGAAAAGCTGGCATAAGAAGCACACTAGCTCCGCAGTGTTTCTCCAATCCTACTGGGATTTTTGTCACCCTCCTTTCTTGCTTTCGTCTTGTCTCTGACATTTACTATTATGAACAAACACAACCAGAGAACATGGGACGTATATGGGAAGGATAGCCACGTGTCTTCCTCTCTGCCTCTTCTTCCTTCCACCCCTTCTTTCTCCTTCTTCTTGTCTCATTGTTTTCCTGTCCCTTCTTCTTACTATAGCATTCAGACGTGATCATTTGTGATTTCTCTAAAAGGGAGGAAGACTAGCTTTGGGGGGAGCCCAGCCAGTCTAAACATGTGTGAATAGAGGTCTCTATTCTTGATTCTTCCTCTTGGCTTCCTTGCCAGGTCAAGTGGACAGGTGTTTTGGTCACCGTGGTCACTTTTGGGTCTCCCCCTTTGCACCATCTATGTCCTATGAGACCAGGGAGAAAGTTCTAGAGTTTTCTTGTCTTTGCAAATGCAGCCAACACAAAATAAAACACATATTTACTGATTGCCTACTGTACTGTGTACCAGTCGTGGTGTTAGCGTGTGTGTGTGTGTGTGTGTGTGTGTGTGTGTGTGTGTGTATGTGCGCACACTGGGGATTGAACTCAGGGCTCTGTCATTTAAAGTCAATGCCCCAGCTCATTTTTGGTCTAGTTTATTTTTCAGATAGGGTTTTGTGCTTTAGCCTAGTCTGGTCTCAAGCCACAATCCTCCTACTCTCACTTCCCTAGTCGCTGATACGACAGGTATGTGTTCCCACGCCTGGCTACATTAGCACCTTTATAGGAAAATTCTTCCTTAATTTTTGTAAGTCAAAAAAGACCACATTATCCTCATCTTATACCATTGGAGAAAATTGGGATTCAAAGGTTTAGAAGACATTTGACTACATAGCTCACATGTGGTGAGTGGTGTCTATACCCCATGACTGACTTGGTCCCTGTCCCATTGCATTCGGTGTTATGGAGGAGAAGAAACTATGGTCCATCTCTGTTGCTATGGAGATTCTAGCTGTGGGTGAGACAAAAGAACCCCTAGGAAAGTACAAGGTGGTGCGTGCTTGAGACCCAGAGTAGGCCCAGCTCAAGGACTGTGTGGTCTTACTTACTGTAAGTCACCACTCAGCCTGAACCACACAGGCACTGGGGCGGGAGGGTCAATAAGCAGGAGGCTGCTGTGTGGAAAGGCAGCTGCAGAATTCCTTTGATGGCTGATGATGCTGTGCATTTTCCCTTTCTTCTGGGATTGAGGGTAGAGACATGATGCCAGAGTGTGAACTAGGTAGAGCTGGACATTTTCCCGTATGAGCCATTTTGCCATGCACTATCTGTCTGCTGGCTGAGTGGCAGGATTCCCAGGACTGGTTTATGAATTTCCTAAAGTTGGTATTTCCAGGTACTAGAGCTATTGCACCTGGTGGGCTGGACATGGCAGAATTTGTTTGGAATACCAGTGTGGGCTGGACATGGCAGAATTTGTTTGGAATACCAGTGTGCCCATAATGGCATCACCTGTCAGAGCTGTCTGGGGTGTGTGTGTGTGTGTGTGTGTGAATGTGAGTGTATTCATGTGGCCTGGGGCTTGAACTCAGGGCCTGGGCACTGTGCTGGAGCTTTTTTGGCTCAAGGCTGGCACTCTTACCACTTGAGACACAGCTCTACTTACAACTTTTTGATGGTTAATTGGAGGTAAGAATCTCACAGATTTTTCTGCCCAGGCTGGCTTCAAACTAACAATCCTCAGATCTTGGCCTTCTGAGTAGCTAGGATTACAGGCATGAGCCACCAGCATCTGGCTACAGATGTCTGTTTTATCCTTGTCTTTCTGGCATTTGTGCATCCAGCATTGATGTCTGAACTTTGCCTGTGGAGTCCTCATGTGTATGGGTTTTTTTTTTTCCACTCCAAAGAATGGAAAACATTGTGTTATTTTGTAAACACTTTTCCAAATAGGCTCTTGGATGTCTGTATGTTTCCAGACCTTGCCTGACAATGTGAGATAAAACTATCATTTGGAATATTGGAAATGCTTCAAGTCCCTTTAAATGAAGCCAATCAGAGCTGGGTGCCAGTGGCTCACATCTGTAATCCTAGCTACTCGAAAGGATGAGATTGGAGGATTATGATTTGAAGCCAGAAATGGTTCTGTGACTCAAATGGCTCAAGAGCACCAGCCTTGAGAGAAAAAGCGAAGACATAGCACCCAAGCCTTGAGTTCAAGGATCAGCACATACACACAAAAAGCAATGTGTGGATGGAGTGCAGCAGAGGCTGGAAATGGCTATTGAGCCTTGGGCCTCTTGCTACCTGGGGCTGGGCATGGCAGGGGAGAGGACTCCTGTCATCCCATTTTCCTGGATGCGGTTTGTCTTTCCTAAGGGCAGGTGTGTGTGTGCTGAACACAGCCTTGGGCTGGGGCCTTGTGTAGGATCCTAACTGCTCAGGTTGCCAGAGGACCGTAAGGCCCTCTGTTCCATCCATCCATTCCACAGAGAGAGCAGTGGGCCTAGGGAGGGGAAATGAGGCCAGACTTGGCTTCTCCAGGCTTGGTCCAGGCTTCTCGGTCCTGGTGATGATTAGCCACTCATCTTGATGAAGTGTGAAGTAATTCAGCTCCCTCTCCCTCCTCCCCACCCCCATCACTTATAAAGTCTCACAACTATGTCTCACCTTGCAGGTTCTCCAAACCTATCCCCGAATCCGATGTCCCCAGCACACAATAACTTGGGTGAGTAGCTCTTCTTCGGCTGTATATGTGGGATCCTCTTCTGGATGCAGACCACTGGTGGCCCTTGAGGGAGGGGGCCTTGGAGATGAGGCTCCTACACCAGCCCAGACCCCGCCCGCTGGGTTCTGGTTATAGCCATGCTAGGTCATGGCAGAACAGGGAAATCTGAGAGCGCTGGTGGCAGCAAAGACACCATAGGCCTGGGATTGTGTTTCCTCAGTGTGGTGTTCAGACGTGAGTGAATGAAAATCCCGCAGACCTTAGACCTAGAAGATGGGGCTGTGGTCAGCCAAGCTCACTGTGTGGTTTGGGGCAAGACCACAAGCAGCTGTGCACACACCATCTGCGGCTTCCATAGACTTACTCAAATGCACCGATTTGTCTTTTTCTTTTGTCGGTCGTAGGGCCTGAACTCTGGGCCTGGGCGCTGTCCCTCAGATCTTCAGCTCAAGGCGAGCGCTCTACCACTTGAGCCACAGCGCCACTTCCGGTTTTCTGGTGGTTTATTGGAGATAGGAGTCTCACGGTCTCTCCTGCCCGGGCTGGCTTTGAACCGCGATCCTCAGATCTCAGCCTCCTGAGTTGTTAGGATTACAGGCGTGAGCCACCAGCGCCCGGCAACAATTTGTTACTAAAGCAGCAACATTTAAAGAATCTGGCAGGAAAATGCTAGTGTACCCATAATGGCACTACCTGCCACAGCTGTGCTATGTCCTGTGTTTCTTCTGGTTTTTTGTTGCTTTGTTTTGTTTCCTGGCACTTGTGTCCAGCATTGATATGTGAGCCTTGCCTGTAGGGTCACTGGGTATATTATTTGTGTTATTTTGTAAATGTGTTTCCATATTTGGATGCCTTGGTTTTGGTTTGCTTTAGCTCACGAGGTTTTAGAGTACCAGGCCCTGTTTACAAACAGTCCCCCGGTTTTGCACTGCTGGGTCAGGGTTCCCTAGAGTTGCAGGGCTAGCCAGGAAGTGTCCTTCAGCTCTTGGGCGTAGCAGCTGTGTGGAGGCTGTGGCTGGAGCTTGCCTGAGGGCTGAAAACCATTGAATGTCTGGGTTGGGTTTGTTTTTGTTGGTGCTAGTACTGAGCCTTGAACTCAGAGCCTTGCATTCTTTCTTAGCTTTGGTGCTCAAGGCTGGCACTCTGCCATTTGATCTACATCTCCATTTCTGGCCTTTTGCTGGTTAACTGGTAATAAGAGTCTCATGGACTTTTCTTGCCCCTCCTCTGAGTAGCTTGGATTACAGGTGTGAGCCACCAGTGCCTGGCATGTTTATTGTTTTTATTGAGGGAACTTTTGATACTCTGGTCTTGTGGATCGTCTTGAGGCATTACAAGCTGGCCCTCACTAAATTGCTCAGGAACAGTGATCATTAATGTCAGGTGTGGGGATTCAAGTGGTTTGACTCTCATGCCAATGTGTTTCTAGAGCTTGACTGACAATGTCAGATACAACATCATTTGGAAAATAAAGAGATGCTTGAAGGTGTATTTTTCTGGTCCTAGGGCTTGAACTCAGGGCCTGGATATTGTCCCTGTCTTGTTTTCTCAAGGCTAGCACTCTACCACTTGAGTCACAACTCTACTTCTGGCTTTTTGCTGGTTTATTAGAGAAAAGAATCTCACAGGCTTTTCTGCCTAGGCTGGCTTCGAACTGTGACCCTCAGATCTTCAGCTTAAAACTCACTTTAGAATGTAGAAGTATTGTCAATTTTCACTTTACAGATTAGAAAACCAAGAATAGAACAGGTTAACTCAGTTTAATTCAGGTTAAACTGCTGAACAGGGAAGCTGGCTTTGAACTCAAGACTTCTGGGACATAGCATGTGTTCCCTACTACAGCAGATCACTGCTTTGTGCTCCACTAAGACCAGGTACCCCTGTTAGTCTCACTCAGAAGGGTAGTCATTAACCAGTTTGTCCCACCTTATTCCCTTGTTACCCAGCTACCTCGGGCCCAGTCACCCTGTGCCAGTCTAGATGTGGGGGGAGGGAGGATTGGTAGATCCATCAGAGACCTGCCTGGAGATGCTCCGTGGTCTTGTTGGGTTCCTAAGAACAAAAACTAATTCTAGAACAAGAGGCTGGATAGCTGGGTGCTGGTGGTCCATGTCCATAATCCTAGCTACTCAGGAGGCTGAGATCTCAGGATCCTGGTTCAAAGACAACCAGGCAGGAAAGATCACTGGGCTCATCTCTAATTAACCAACAAAAAAAGCTGTAAGTGGAGCAGTTGTTCAAGTGATAGATCACTAGCCTTGAATGAAAAAGCTAAGGAATGGTGCCCAGGTGCACATAGACACACACACACACACACACACACACAATAGTGTTGTAAGCTAGGTTCTGGGGCTCAGGCTTGTAATCCTAGCTACTCAGGATGCCGAGATCTGAGGGTCATTGTTCAAAGCCAGCCTGGGCAGGAAAGTTCGTAGGACTCTTATCTCCAATTAACCACCAGAAAACCAGAAGTAGAGCTGTGGCTTAAAGTGGTAGAATGCTAGCCTTGAGTGAAAAAGCTCTGGGACATCACTCAGGCCCTGAGTTCAAGCCCCATGACCACCACCACCCACAACAACAAAAAGAAAGGTATGGTTGTGAGGTTATTATACAGAAAGAAACTGTGACTTCCTCTTTCATTTCCTCCCCATTTTGGTGCGGGTCCCAGGTTTGGGAAAGGTTGAGTATCCTGCCACACAGCAAAGCCACGCCCCCAAAGCATGACCAAGGCCCAGCCAGGCCTACTGCACTCGGGAGCCCTAGGACGTTTGTTTTGCAGGGGGCTGTGAGCAGGTGATGGGCTGTTACACATAGTGCTGGGTGAGTCACACCTGGAATTTCCCAAGCATGTAACTCAGAAAGGTTGGAACAAATGAAGGGGAAGGAGGTGGTGGCAGGTGGAGAGAGGAGAAAGGTAACGCACCGGCTCCTGCCAGGTGAGTAAGTTGTTCCCTGCTTTCCTGTGAGACATCCAGGGAGTGGCTGGACTTGAGGACATAGGCCCAGGAGCACCCCAGGGGCAACAGCTGAGCTGGCATTCCAGAGGTGGATGGCTTCTCGCAGCATCCTGGCAGGATAAGCCTTGCCCTCTGGCACCAGAGCAGAAAGGGTGGATGGCAGGGCAGCTGCAAGGTAGGAGGCCCCTGGCCCTGAAGAGAAGACAGGAGCCCAGATCACAGGCCTGACCAGGGGCCACTGTGCCCATGCTACCACACACATACCTTTCTTTCCCCTCTTTCTCTCCCCTACTCACTCCTCTCTCCCCCACCTCCCTCCCTCCCTCCCTCCCTCCCTCCTTCCCTCCTTCCCTCCTTCCTTCCTTCCTTCCTTCCTTCCTTCCTTCCTTCCTTCCTTCCTTCCCTTCCTTTCCTTCCTTTCCTTCTCTCTCTCTCTCTCTCTCTTTTTTTTGCCAGTTCTGGGTCTTGTCCTTGAGGTTTTTGTTTTTTGTTTGTGTCAGTTGTAGGACTTGAACTCTGGGCCTTGGGCCTAGATGCTGTCCCTGAGCTCTTCAGCTCAAGGCAAACGCTCTACCACTTGAGCCCACAGCAGCATTTCTGGTTTTCTGGGGGTTAATTGGAGATAAGAGTCTCACAGACTTTCCTACACTGGCTGGTTTTGAACCTGGATCCTCAAATCTCAGCCTCCTGAGTAGCTAGGATTACAGGCGTGAGCCACTGGTGCCTGGCTAGGCCTTGAATTTTTATGCTCAAAGCTAGTACTCTACCACTTGAGGCACAACTCCATTTCTAGTCTTTGTGGAAGTTCATTGGCTAAAGCTGGGGGTGCCTTTGAACCATGAGCCTCAGATCTCAGCCTCCTGAGTAGCGAGGATGACACATGTGAGCCACTGACACTAGGCACCAGGTACTTTTCTCAGATTCTCTCTTGCATCAGTCTTGGGTAGCTTGTAAATTCACAGGCAAGGTGAAATGATGATATGATGAAAGACAGGAAGTTGGCTCTGTTCTACATCCTCACCTTCCTGGGACCTGTAGACTTTGCTGTTGTTCTTGATTACATTGAACTGTTAGGCTAAAAGATCACAAGGTTCTTTGTGTGTGTGTATGTGTGTGTGTGTGTGTCTGCCTGTCTGTCTGTCTGTCTATCTGTTCGTCCTAGGGCTTGAACTCAGGGCCTGGGCACTATCCCTCAACTTTTTTTGCTCAAGCCAGTGCTTTACCACTTGAGCCACAGCTCCTCTTCTGGCTTTTTGGTGGTTAATTGGAGGTAAGAGTCTCATGGACAGGTGGGAAGGTGGCTCAGTGGTAGAGCGCTTGCCTTGCATGCATGAGGCCCTGGGTTCGATTCCTCAGCACCACATAAGCAGAAAAAGCTGGAAGTGGCTCTGTGGCTCATGTGGTAGGGTGCTAGCCTTAGAGCTGAAGAGCCGAGGAACAGCGCCCAGGCCCAGAGTTCAGGCCCAACTCCAACAAAAAACAAACAAGCAAAAAAAAAAAAAAAGTCTCATGGACTGCCATGCCTGGTCTGGTTTGAACAGTGATCTTCAGCTCTCAGCCTCCTGAGTAGCTAGGATTACAGGCATGAGCCACCAGCGCCCGGCCTCCACTAGGTTGTTTTTATGTATATTTCAGCTAGTTGCTTTTAGTCTCTGAGCTAGAATGCAAGGAAGGCCCAAAGTTGGAGACACAGCTGGCCTGAAGCTATGGAGTGCTAATGCCACGGTGTGTGCTAAGCACCAGGAGGCAGGAAGGAGTCAGGGAATGTCTTACAGTCCTGCATTGGGCCTTACAGGTCAGAAGCTATAGGGTAAGGGCGGGGACAGCCCAGGTAGCAGATGGTATCTGGAAGGGAAGTGGGGGGTGGGGGTGGAATCCCTGGAGGTGGAGGCTGAGCTGGCTTCTGCAGGACTGGAGGCTTTAGGCAGGCCACTGTTCACGGCCTTTGTCCATTCCCTGTTGCCTTTTCTTTTTTCTTTTTCTGTTTTCTTTTGGTGCAAGTCCTGGGGCTTGAACTCATGATCTCTTAGCTTTTTTTTTTCCCACTCAAGTCTGGCACTCTACCACTTGAGCCATAGCTCCAGGTTCTGATTCTTGTTGGTTAATTGGAGAGAAGACTCTCATGGACTTTCCTGCCCTGGCTGACTTTTTTTGTTTTTTGTTTTTAGTGATCTACTTTATTTTTTTGTATATATTTTTATTGTAAAAATACTGTACAGAGGGGTTAGAGTTACATGAGTAATGTAATGAGTACATTTCCTATCAAGCATTGTTAACCTCTTCCTTTGTTTTTCCCCTACCATCCCTTCCTGCCCCACATCCCCAACTCCTGCTCCCTACCCCTGAAGTTGTAAAGTTTGTTTTTAACATAGTGTCTTGTACCTCTCAATGTGGGTCAACCTGTATTCTTATTTTAGCATTTTGTTATTTCCCTTCCCCTCCTCAAATTATAAAAATGTATATACAAAATACAGAGCCCTGGAATCCAATACATTGTAAACAGGGGTTATACCATGGGGGAGAACATCAAAAGAAACAAAAATCACATGGTACATTATAAATACATTAAAAACAACAGCAAGAGAGATAAAACCACTTGTGTCCCTATCTTGGGGTTCATTTTGCTTAGCATCATCTTATATGGTCATATGTACATAGCTTTTGATCTTTTCCGCTTGTCCTAGACATATACTAGTTATTGCAAGTAATGGAAACCAGGGGACCTGTTTCTTTGGCCTGGCTAACTTTGAACTGTGATCCTCAGATTCTCCGTCTCCTGAGGAGCTGGGATGACAGGCTTGAGCCATTGCCATTCCCTGCTTTCAATTAGAGCAGAAAGCGAATCCCTCTCACCTTTGCCGCATTCAGATCTTTTGCACATGTTACTAATAGTCGTCTCTGAACCCAAGCATTGCCTTCTGGATTTTATTGTTTTCTTTTCCTTAAACAAAACAGAAAGTCTATGCCAACTTGGAACAGGGCTCAAAACTGAAGCCGGCCAATGTGTTTGGCTGGCAGGGGGCCAGCCAAGAATTGAGCACCCATGCCACTTAAGAATGTCTGGCTAACACCACACAGGTGGGGGAGGGGCCGTGACCACTGCAGCTGGAGGATGCTATGTGTCCCACATAGCACGACAACCCAGCAGTCTGATAGGAGCAGGGCTGTGGCCTTGGCATGTGCCATGGTCTACCAGCCCAGGTATTCAGAGTCTCTGGTTTTTAAACCAGGGCCTGCTCACTAGCTTGACTGCTGAAGCCGGGAGAGGGGGAGATTCTTGCCACCCCCCCAGAAGATTGTTAAGGTTTAGTGCCAGGACAGGCTTTGTTTCCCTCAGGGATCTGGTGAGCACTGTGCATCTGCCCATCATACTTGGATTATATTCTGTTTTTTGCTTTGTCTTCTCAGAAGCTCGGAGCCAAGTTGAGCCCTCTTTCAGTAAACACACATGGTTATCCTGTGTGATACAGCTTTTTCTTGTGTAGAATTGTGGCGTTTTGCTCTTAGTGCACTGATTGTGCTGTGCATCTTCAGTGGGAAAGAAATGGGGGGAGATGTCCAGTTTACAAATGTAGTCAGGCATGGTAGTGTACACCTATAATCCCAGCTCTGTAAATCTGAGCTCCTTGGAAGACAGAGAGGCAGGATGATTGAGAGTTGTGGTTCGCCTGGACAACGGTGACAATAGACCCTGTCTCAGGAACAAAAACAAATAACCAAACAAAAAGGGTTTTGAATGTAGCCAAAGTGGTAGAGTGCTGGCCTATCATGTGCAGAGCCCTGAATTCAAACACCAGTAATATCACAAGCTGACCACCGCGTTTGGTTTGCAGCTCATCTTGCAGAAAGGAGAGAGAGAAGCACAGTTGCCTTATTGTTGTTTGCAGTGACTAGAAAAGTATAATGTGCTACCCAGGTCTGTCCTGCTTGTGAGCCAGGGCAGCTTATCCACACAGCACTGTAAAACAGTGGCCTGCAGACTTAGCACTAGCATGGTGACTGTGCACCTCCAACCAGCACCTTGCTAATGATGTGTCGAGCTACATATCCAATGTTTCCATAACACTGTGTCTGCAGTTGCGGGGTGTTTGGAGAAGGGTTTTGATCTGCTTGTCAGGGTCTCTCAGCCTAGGACCCCTTGAAGCCACCCGTCCCTAGACCATGGTTCGGGAATTCTGTGACAGTCTTTTGTAGGTCGCCTGCCAGCTTTTCTTTTGTTTGGATGAGTGGTCTATCAGTGTTCCCTGGGAGCTTTGCTCACTGTATTTTTGCCTGGACTTTTATGATTTGGGGGTGAGGATTTTGTTCAGTTCTGTGCATTGCTGAGTAAATCAGGGCTGACCCAGATCAGCCCACTCTGCCTCTTCTTCAGACTAACCTGTGCCAGATGGAGTGACCTGGAAGGTTCTCTGTAGATGTCTTCCAGTCCTCTAGTTATTGTAGCAGACTCAAAAGCCCTGAGTGAAAAGGGAGAGTATGTCCCCCAAAGTCAATATGCAAGGTCAGCAGGCCTGCACCTGGGCATCAAAAGCCAGCAACTTGATATGTTGCCTGGTTATTTTGAAGGATTTTTTCCTCCTCTCTTCCTTTATTTGTGCCAGTACTGGGGCTTGAACACAGGGTCTGCGGCACTGTCCCTTAAGCTTTTTTCATTCAAAGCTGGTGCTCTACCACCTGAGCCACAGCTCCACTTCTGACTTTTGGGTGGTTAATTAGCAATTTTCTTGTCTTGGCTGGCTTCAAACCAGGATCCTCAGATCTCAACCTTCAGAGTAGCTAGGATTATAAGGCATGAACCACCGGTACTCAAATCCTTTTTTTTTTTTTTCAAATTAAAAAAAAGCACAAAAATAACTGTTTCCAAAGCAACACAGCTCGCATTTTAGTGACTGCAGTGTTTAGAATACAGCTCATCTCACTGGAATGCAGAAGCATAGCGCAAAGGCAGACATGGCTGATGTGGCCCAAGCTTAGGAGTCAGACAGAGCACAGGCCACAGCTTTGCCTGTACCCCTGGCAGCCGTGTAGATCCCTGCCAGTGTGGATGACTAGGTAGGGACCTGAGATAGTTGGGCTCTCTTCAGGTAGAGTTTGTAAAAGAACCAGGACATGCTCAATATGAAGAATCATGGTTATTCTCAACACCACATCCTGAGTGCCTGGCCCCTCTGCCTTTGGTGAGCTAGTACGAAAGAACTATAACAGTACCAGTGGGAAAGAGAACTCAGCCCTCTGGTGGAGGTAAAGTGGGAGGTGAAATTCTCTATGTGGCTATTTATGATCTGGCTTGACATTGAGGACCATGACTTTAACCCAGGGTATTTTCCAGTGCTGGAACACATCTGGCGGTGGCTGGGAACATGTACGTGTGTGTGTGTGCGTGTGCGTGCGTATGTCCATCTTAGGGCCTGGGCACTGTTCCTGAGCTTTTTATGCTCAAGGCCAGCACTCTACCATTTGAGCCACAGCTCCACTTTGGCTTTTTGATAGTCAACTGGAGATAAGAGTCTCACAGAAGCTTTCTGCTCAGGCTGACTTTGAACCATGATCCTCACATCTCAGCCTCCTGAGTAGCTAGGATTACAGGTGTGAGCCATTGGTGCTTAGTGACATTTTTTTAAAAAAATTGTCGCCAGTTGAGAGAGAGAGAGAGAGGGAGAGGGGTGGATGCTTGTAACATCTAATGGGTGCTGAGATGCTGCTGAAAATATCCTGCAATGTTTGGCACCCTTTCCTCCTAAGCCCCACGTGTCAGGAGTGCTAAGGCTGGGAACCCAGCAGGGGGAGAGGCATCCTCACCCACCTGCCCTGTGTGGGTGTGAGTGGTGTGGAGGAATGTCTGTGCTCCCCCATTACCCCAGTGGCTTCTGACCTTCAGGAGGATGTGAATGCGCGTCTCTGTCAGGAGACACCTCAGCCCTTTCCTGTGAGCAGCCCAGTTTCCAGTCTCTTGGAGTTGGGTTCTTCCAGAGTCAATAAGCAGAGGTCCACAGCAGACACTTGTTCCTGGAAGTTGCCTGATATGTGTGTGTGTGGGGGGAGGGGCAGGGTTCTCCAGTCAGCACTGAGCCCCTCCCACCCCTCTGAATCATAGCCCATGCTGCCAGGTGAAGTAGAGGGAGAGAGAGGGGCCCTGGGACAGTGTGGTCCTCTTGGACAGTCAGAACACTTAGGAATGGATACCAGCTCATACGCAGACGTATCCTAAATGACCATGTGACTTTTAAGTATATTAAAGAGTGGGTCTGAAGCCTGGTGTCACTAGGTAATCCTAGCTACTCAGGACGCTGAGATCTGAGGACGTGGTTTGAAGGCAGCTCAGGCAGGAAAGCCCATGAGATTCATATCTCCAATTAGCTACCAAAAAGTCAGAAGTGGAGTCATGACTCAAGTGGTAGAGCAACAGCCTTGAGTGAAAAAGGCTAAGGGACAGTGCCTAGGCCCTGGGTTCAAACCCCAGTATTGGGGCTGGGAAGGTGGCTCAGTGGTAGAGCGCATGTCTTGCATGCCTGAGGCCCTGGGTTTGATTCCTCAGCACCACATAAGCAAAAAGAAAAAAAAGCTGGAAGTGGCGCTGTGGCTCAAGTGGTAGAGCGCTAGCCTTGAGCTGAAGAGCTGAGGGGACAGCACCCAGGCCCTGAGTTCAGGCCCCATGACCGGACCACCCCCCAAAAAAACCAAAAACCCCCAGTATTGGCACTCCCTTCCTCCCCTCAAAAATATGTAAGCAATGAAAGCCACACAGGGAGAGGGTCATTGACACCTCAGAGAAGTGGGAAAGAATCTTCCAGGACATTCTTGGAGCTCACTGATCCCATGGACTGTGTCTCCCCAGACTTGCAGCCTGTCACCTACTGTGAGCCGGCCTTCTGGTGCTCCATCTCCTATTATGAGCTGAACCAGCGTGTCGGGGAGACATTCCACGCCTCGCAGCCGTCGATGACAGTGGACGGCTTCACCGACCCCTCCAACTCAGAGCGCTTCTGCCTGGGTCTGCTGTCCAACGTCAACAGGAACGCCGCGGTCGAACTCACACGGAGGCACATTGGTAACAGGCGGCCATGTTTCTTACCTCCATCCCCATCCTAGCTGGGGTAGCCTGTGCACAGAGCTCTTCCTAGCTCTGCCTGCCTCCCACTGGGGCCTGAGGAAGGACTCAGCTCCCTCATCTGCTCCCAAATTCTCTATTGTCCTAGTGACTCCCAGAAAGGCACAGAAGTTCAGCTTGTTTGGTCATTCCTAACCCAAAGACCAAGAGAATGTCTGAAAAATCTAGAAGCTGGGCTGGGAAGTTGGCCCAGTGGTAGAGCGCTTGCCTTGCATGCCTGAGGCCCTGGGTTCGATTCCTCAGCACCACATAAGCAAAAAGAAAAAAGCCGGAAGTGGCACTGTGGCTCAAGTGGTAGAGCGCTAGCCTTGAGCTGAAGAGCTGAGGGACAGCGCCCAGGCCCTGAGTTCAGGCCCCACGACCGGACCCAAAAAAAAAAAAAAAAATCTAGAAGCTACAGAGGGGGAAACGCCTCAATTAAGGGGATAAGGAAGGGCGATCTATGGGAAAAGCAACATGCCAGATTCTTTCAACAACAATATGCATACAGGCCCGGTGTGGTGTCGAATGTCTATAGTCCCAGCTACTCAGGAATCAAAAGTAAGGACTGTGCTCTGAAGCTAGCGCTGAGCAAAAGTATGAGACCCTACCTCAAGACAAACTAAAGCAAAAAGGAACTGGGGGTGGGGGCATGGCTCAAGTAGTAGAGTACTTGAGACTCTGAGCTCAAATTCTAGAACTACCAAAAAAACCCTACAAACAAAAAAACAACCCTAACATACAGATAGGTTAGTCAGGGCTAATAAATGGGCAGTTATTCTTTTTTTTT